GACAGGTGGCGCCGCGGGAGCAGAAGCGCGGCCGGCGGGAAAATCCGCGTGGGAGGCAGTAGCGGCTGACGCTCTGGACCCGGCTTCGGAGACGCCACACCTGGGCCCGCGGGGAAGAGCAGTGAGGACCCAGACCCTGACACCGAAGCAGAGAAGCGCGAGAGCCCGATCGGGGTGCGAAAAGGCCGAGGGAGCTCGGCCCCCGGTCGGCTCGGAAGGGAAGCACCGCGCTGCAAGCCTGTAAGATGCCGTTTATTTAAAAGTTAAAAACTCCAGTGATAAATGTCCGTTACCGATGGTCAGCATAAAGTGCCAGTCGCAATACAACGCCCGCCCCGCGCGTGGGAGCCGGGAAGCCGAGCGGGACCGCAGCCCGGCGAGGGCCCCCGCATCCCGCTCGGACCGAGCCGAGGCCGAGTCGCCGGTGGCTGAAGCAAATACAAGGGTTATACTTTCGCGGGCGCCGGGTGGCGTGGGGACAGGGGAGGGCTGGAGCTGCGGAGCTTCTTTCTCTTCTCTCCATGGTCAGTCAAACTGGTGTGGCCAAAGGGGGGGTAAGGAGAGAAAGAGGAGGAAAGCAAAGAAAGAATGTATAAAATAACAATTGAAAAAGTAATACTTCTGGGAGGGCGCCTGCCTCCGCGGACCTTCGGCTCTCCTTTCAAGGACAATCCCTTCGCCATGCGCTCGCCGCGAGAGTCCCGCTTCTGGGCAGGGCGGCGGCCCGCAGCTGGGGTCGAGGCGTGGGTCCCAGCGCCCCGACCCACCAGAGTCTCCGGGAGCAGGGGCAGCGCGGCAGGGTGCGGGCGCTGGCTGTTTAACATTTGATCTTGGGGGTTTTGAGCTCCTTCACCTGCGAGTGTAGCGTCTTGTGCACAGCGAGAGTCCGGGACTGGCAGAACCCTTTTCCGCACTCTTGGCATTTGAAAGGCTTCTCTTTGGAGTGAATATATCTGGGGACGGAAACAAACAGTTAATCCCTGGGAACCGCGCACCATGATCCCTTCTCCACGAACAGCTGCCTGAAGCCCCTCCTGCCTTCCAAGGCCCTGGCCCTCATAGCAGACAGGTTGAAGGGTCCTGAACGTGAGCGTCCAGCGAAACACTGAGCTGCCCAGAGCGAGCGGGTCCAGGCTAGCAGACCCCTGCCTTTCTGATGGGGTGGACAGGGCCTTCTCACACAGCCTGGGTCACTGCTAGAGGGGAATAAAGGGAGCTGGGTTGGATAATCGTGGTACAAAACTAGGACACTAGACACTAGCACGAGTGGCTATTAAAATTACGTAAAAATAAAACAAAAGGTTGAGTTTATGAGATGGCACACTCTCCATCCGCGCAGAAACATCACTACTGCACAGTGGTAGAGCCGGAGAAAGGGAGCTCAGGAGAGTGTGCTTGACTGGAGCCTGTGGAGACCTGCTCTAGTCTTAGGGCCCATGCACTTCATTCCTCCACCCTTGCTTCTAAACCTGTCCCTGAGCCTTCTGTGGCTCTTTGTGACTCTGAGCCATTCCCAGAGCTTGGAGCCAGTAGGGAGCTGGAGAAGCTCTTCGGGAAGGAGGATGGTGAGGCTAGAGGGTTGCTCAGCTCTCTTGGGCCACCTGCAGTTCGCACCTGTGGTCCCGCAGGTGGTCCTGCCTCCGGAAGGCTTTGTGGCAGATGTCACAGGTGTAGGGCCTCTCATCTGTGTGGGTCCGCTCGTGGATGAGAAGGTTGTAGGACTTGGTGAAGTGGCGGCCACAGAACTTGCAGACAAACTCCTTCTTGGTCTTGGAAGGCAGGCGTCCTCTGGTGGGCTTCTTTTCTGGGGACAGCTTGGTCACGTCCAGCAGGGCACCCAGCCCACCTGTGGGGGATCCAGGGCCCTCACCTCGGACAAGCTTGGAAGGATCTTCTTGTGTGGCAGCCAGAGCTAAGTTGGCAAAATCAAAGCGCGGCTTGGTCTTGAGAGCCGGACCGCTGCCTGCAGTGGTGCTCTCTGGCTTGGGTTGGATGACCTGAGGGAACCAGGGAAAGGCAGGCAGCTGGAAGCGAGCATCCACCAGGCTGGACACAGTGCCTGGCACTTTGGAGAAAGAGGAGCGCGGCAAGTGCATGGCTGGATAACCCAGCGTCCACTGGTGCAGGTGCACAGCCTGCAGGGCACTGAAGCCGTATAGGCTGGGCAGGTGGTCCGATGGCACCGCAGGAAGGCCATTAACCGCCTGGAGGAAAGAGTAGTTGGTGAGCTGCAGGGATGGGTGGATGGGCACCGGCGCCGGCAGGGTTTTGCTGCCCATCGTGGTAGCTGCAATGGTTCTCAACCTCGATCTGCAAAGGAGAGGAAAAAAAAGACATTTAGACTAGGTTGTCTTCCTTCTGAGTTTCAGCCCGCCCCACCCTCTCATGCCCCAGAGTAGCTGCTGGAAGCACAGCCCCTCCTGTGCTTTCAGAAAGCAGATGAGAACTCAGGGTACTGGGGAGTCTTCTTCTGGGGGCCCTCTTTGTTGAATGGAACCCTCCTTGGTTTCAGGGCTCCCTCCGAATGGCCTGTGACAGAAACACAGACCTTGAAGGGGGGACCAGAGTGACATTAAATCCCAAGCAATGCAACTAACTTAAAGTGAGGGCCTGCTGTGTAGGGCTCAGGAAGACAGGCACAAGCACAAGGCAACTGGCATTGGTAAAAACCAACATCTGGGCAAGCCTGGGTCCATGTGGAATTACTTTCTCCTGCAAAGATAAGAGTTTGGAAGCACACTGCACATTGACACATAAACACATATTCACACATCCTCAAACAGAACTGCCAAGAAGGTGCAAAGATTAAACTGGGCCAGCCTGTGTCCCATTGGATAGCAGTAGTTACAAAATGCAAGGACCATCATGGATGCACTAGCAAGTGTACACACACACACACACACACACACACACACACACCTCCTGCTGCCTCCTTATTAAGGTCTTCTGGCTAGCAATGGAGATGGCTGTACAAGCCGTGGTATCTTCTTCAGAACTCTCCACATCGCCCTCCAGTTTGAGGTCCTGACTAACAGTGAGCCCTGTGGCACTGCTCTCCTGTAGCTGCTTGAAGATTGATCCCTGACCACTCCTTGGGGTCACGGTCATTTCAAGGAGGGAGGGCACTGACACCCACATTCATCCAGTCCATTAAACACTGCAGTCACCTACAAGAGTGCTCAGGCACCTTCCTCCTCCACAGGAGAGGGCAGCAGGGCCACTGGGTATGGGAGTGGGCGTGGAAACACTGCCACCAACCTTTGCGAGGCCAGTGTGCTGCAGCGAGGCAGAGAAGCCAGGCAGAGTGACAGGCTGGCATCTGAAGCCTCTTTTGTCAGAGACTTGCATGGAAAGGTCTTGGATCTGCAGAGGCCTTTCATCCGTGCCCTTCTTAGATAGCCCTGGGTCTAACCAGTGGAGGGACAAACAGGAAGAAGGAAAGCAGAAAGTGGCAAGGAGCCCTGGGAAGCCCGAGTGCTGAAGCCCCAGCACCGAGCTGCAGCTGCTCAGCAGGTCATGCTTCAGCAGCCTGGATGCCCTCCTCCCGCGCCCACTCTCAGTGCCGTGCTACTGACTTTCGCCTTCAGCCTGGCGCCTCTCCTTCCCCGCGGACTTCCCTTGCCCTGAGAGGTGCCTCCACTTCACAGCACAGACTCAGGGGACCTCTCAGAGTCAAGGGAGGCAGTCATACACCCAGCTGTGGTTCCCTCACTGCAGGGAGGCCCTGTAAGCCTGGCCCGCCCCGAGAGCGATGCCTGCTCTGGGGAAGGCAGGGGAAGCTGGCAGCGGGGTGGCGGCCTGTGAGGTGAGGATCTAAGGAAAGAGGCATTGCAGGGTGGAAAGCCTGAACAGGTTCATCACCCAGCAGATGAACGAGACCTGCCCACTGGGGCCACACAGCCCAGGGGCAGAGGACAAAGCAGCAGTGCGATTCTGCAACTGCACTCAGAACCACAGCCCACAGGCAGACCCAGCGCCCATCTCCCGAAGTACTCTGGTGGGACAAACCTAGACAGTCCTAGAGGCATGGGACAAGGGAGAAGCAAAGCAGGAGTCAGGCCAGAGACCCCTTTGGGTTGGGGGAGGTAGAAAACCACGAGTTCCAAGGGTCTGCCGGACCTAGGCAAGGCGAGTGCTCTGATTTGCCTTCTGCTCTCTCCCTCAGGCCCCGGAAATCAGATCCCCTCTTGGAGAGAGCCACTGGGCGATGGTAGCCTCAGCTTGCAACGCCAGCGGCTGGGCCTGGTGAGGCCAGAGACAGCCCTGGGGCCCGGACTCGGGGCTGCGGGCAGACCCAACTTGCTCCAAGCTCGGGCCGGGAGAACCCACCTGCCCGCTGGCCTGCACTCGCCTTCCCTACAGCGGGGAAGACCCCAGCGTCCTTAACCCCAAAGGGGGCTGCAGAGCTCGCTCTTGCCACTCCCGAGCAACCTTCCCGGGCTGTTTGCCCATCTTATTTCCCCAGCGCTCCATTTATTTTCCTCCGCGGCCCAGCCAGTTTCTTATTTTCCTCCACAGCATTCCGAGGCCAGGGCTCCCCGGGTTTCCGCCAGCGACTTTCCGGTGGACGAAATTCGTTGGAAACGTGGCTCTTTCTTCGCACTGCACCGAGAAGGCAGAGTGAACGGTGCGGCCGTTCTCGGTGGTCAGCTAGGAGAAGCAGCCTCTCACTGCTCCCCAGCCTGAAAGGCTGAGTCCCCCCACCCCACCCCAGACCCCAGTACGAGATAGCTACCCTCTTTCGCCTCCAGAGGATGGCCTTTCCCACCCGGCATCTATTCCGCCAAAAGCCCGGGTCCCAGCGCGCGAGCACCAGCCCTGGGCCTGGCCGGCCCTTGCTGGGCACTAATGAAGTGTGCAGAGACTATTAAAGCGGTTTATTTGGCGCTAATTGAGCGTGAGTAGTTAACTGTCTGCAGTAAGCACCAAACGAACTCCTCAAGCTTGCGCCTGGAGGGGCGCGGCGGCACCACCGAGTGACCGCCCTTGACACCAGACTCCCACAGAGTGGGGACCGGAGCCCGGGACTGACCAGCGCCCGGCGCTTCTCCTGTGTCCTCCCGACGAACAGGGCCACGACCCGCTGGCGAACAGCCGTCCTACACGTCCGCCGTGCTCAGCAGACCAGTCCTCCATCCTAATGAAACCGCAGTTTCTTCCAGGGTCCCAGGAAGGACCGACCACCAGGCAGTCGCTCCCCATCTCGTGCCACCCCTCTTCCTCCCCAGGAGGCCAGCGATTCCAGCCTTCCCATGGTCCCGTTCCTAAAAACCAACACGCAGCTCTAAGCCGGGTGAAATTTACGCAATCAGTGCAACAAAGAAACTCTCGAAGCTACTTTTCATTCCAGATCCCACCCTCTACTGCCGGAGCTGCTGAAAAGGGGCTGACTGTGGGTTTCCGTTCTTCTCCGGACCTTTCAGTCCGAAGCCAGCCCCTAGCTACTCTTCCACTTCGGGGTGCCACCTTCCCTTCCTGAAGGCTGTGCCCGGGACCTCAGGAGCAGAGAACCCTCCTCTTCCCACCCCCGCCCAGAGGCGCTTGCGCCCCGCGTCCTGACCACTGGGCGAGAGGGGCTCGGCTTCGGAAGCAGCGCTGGCGCCCCTGCGTGCTCCTGCACCTGGACGTCGAGAGTCACACTCAGGCCTGGGG